ACAACAGAAAGAAATGTAAGGAATCTCCAAGTATTAGGATATGACAATATATTTCTAAATAAACCACTGGTCAATGAAATTATAAGAGTAAGCTATTTTGACGTGAAAGAAAAACAACCAGACAAACAGCATATCAAGGTTTATAGGATGCAGCTATAGTAGTAGAGAAAAAACACAGTTTACAAAAGCTTATTATACGAAAGGAGAAAAGATCTAAAAATCAATAACCTCTAGGCTTCTTCATGGGATTTCATGTGCAGGAAAAGGGCAGTAAAAGCAAACCCAAGTAAGCAAAAGAAAGGGCATAATAATGTCACAGCCCAGTTGAATGAAGCAGCTCTGGTGGTACAGCAGTTAGGGAAGGGCTTCCGAGAGGATGGTAGTTTGAACCAACCTAGCAGCTCTGTGGGAAAAAGATCTAGCAATCTGGTTCCAGAAAGATTAAGTTCATACCAAGAAAACCCCAAACTCGCTGCCAGAGAGTTTGCATCAATGCCTACTCATATACAACCCGATACTTCCATAGGACAGTCCTACTTCGTCCGTGGGGTTGCGAGGCATTGAAATCACATCAATGGAACAGCAGAAATCAATGAAACACTGTATGTGAGGGAGGACGACCAAGGGGACACAATGACAGATAGTCCTTAGATTATGAACACTGGATTTATAGACAACTAAACTTGCCCTTTAAACTAGTTCTGTCATGACCAACAGAGTGAAACAGGAACTGATTCAAAGTTTTGCAATTTGGCAGATTCAGCAAAAATGAAAAAAGGGAAAATAAATTATAGGTTGAACAGAAGTTATAGAAGTTCCCTATTCCAGAAGATCTGGGTAGTGAGTCCTTTAAAGACCCTGGCAAGTGAGACTAAATTATTGCAGGCCTGTAGGAGAGCAACAAACATTCAAAGTAGCACCACTGGTGGCCATGTGGGAGTAGGGCGCCACCATCTTTGTGCAACCAGGTGCTGACTGGACTGTGTTCAAAATCAGAGGGCATGAGAACTAGATGCTACAGAACACATGTGCTGCCCTTGTGAGAGTGGGAGATTAAATCTCTAGCAAGGCTTCAACCTGTAAATTTTCTCATTCCAACTATCTTTCTAGCTCACCACAACTTTAAAAATTCTAGTTTGCTCAGATGATACTTCCTCGGTCATGACTGAACCAGTTCTGGTTTAAAGCCACAACAAATTCTAGGAACCGACTGCATTTGTAACTCAAAGACTACCTGTCACCCAAGTTGATTCTTAAGACAAATTCAAATAAAAAAGCTTTTACGTAGAGAGTAGGAAATTAAAAAGACACAAAATAAAAATGTCATGAAGGAAACAGAACCTACATAAAATGAAAGATTATAAAGGAATATTGGTACAACTTCATGCCAACAGATGATTCAATTAAAATGAAAAGCACAAATTTTCAAAACCGGCCCTAAAACAAATAGAAAACATAAATGGATTTATAATGAGAAAAAAAAGAATAATTGAAACTCTTCCCATAACTAGTAGTCCAGGCTCACACAGCGTCACTGATAAATTCTAACCAAAATTCAATCTAGAAAAACATAGCACTCCTACACAAAATGTTTCCAGTAACATTAGGTAAAAACGTCCTAAACTGGCTCGATGAAGCTAGTATTGCTCTGTTAATAAACCTAGAAAAATGACATGACAAGGAAAGAAAATGTCAAGAACATAGACGCAAAAATGTTTACTACGAGGAAACCAAATTTAGCAACTGTAAAAAGGATTACACATCATGCTCAAGTGGGAATGACCCCAGGAATGTACGGTTGGTTTTGCTTTCCAAAAATATACTAGTGCAATATATCAAAATAAAGGACAAGATCTGCACGATCATGTGAAGAGATCTAGAAAAACCCTTTGACAAAATTTAACACTCTTAAGTAACCATGAAAACAAGGGAAATGCCTCTAATTTGATTAAGAGAATACACTGGATTGATAACCACAAGGTCAGCGGTTAAAACCCACCAGCCACTCCACAAAAGAAAGATGAAGTTACCTGCTCCCGTGAAAACGTACAGCTTTGAAAACCCTATACAGGGTCACAAGGAATCGGAACCAACAGTGCTTTTGGTTTGGGTATGCACCAAAACCTTGCAGCTAACATACCTAACAGTGAAAAACGGACTATTTTCTCCCTAAGATGGGGAACAAAGAAACAATAACTCCCCTTACCACTCTACTGCACTGTTTTACTGAAGATTCTTGTCACTGTAAAAAGGCAAGAAAAAGAACTTACAATCCAGGTTCTTCTCACTGCCGTCAAGTGAAGACTCAGCGATCCTTTAGGACAGTGTGGACCTGTCCCTGTGAGTTTCTGAGACTGATACTGTTTACAGGTCTCCATCAGAGAGGTGGTGGTTTTGAACTGTGGACCTTGCGGATCACAGCCCAACTCGTAACCACTACGCCTCCAGGGGTTCTCACCACATTACTTAATACGGAGACTCTTGTGAGTTTCCGACTTCATTATCATCAGCGTCATAGCTATTTAGTGCTGCTATAACGTATACGAAAGTAAGTCAAAAAAGCATTGCTACAAAATCAGATACCTTATTAAACAAAAATATCAAAATGTCAAGCTATTGTTGCCCCTGCTTCCATCTAGTCTGCACATTTCTCAATGCAGAGCTTCCATCTCTCCCGCCCTTCACCAGAGAATGCTGACGTTTGACATACACTATGCTAAAATGCGACACCGGCAGTTTGGGTATCCTCAAGGGACTCAAATCCTGTTCCCTCTCAATCCTTCTGGTGTTTTGGAGCAACTAAAAGAAGTCTGATTTGGCAAAATCTTTCATTTTTGTTGTTTATGAATGTGCTCTTATTCTAACACCACTTACTGAAAATTTTATCCTTTCCTCCAAAGAATTGCATAGACAGTTCTGCCCATGTCTAAATCAAGGGACTTTTTCAAGTTGATCCATTTTAGGAAAGAGTGGGCTTTAAGGTGAGGATCTGGGAATTGATTTCTTCAAAAGTATCTTTAGGGACATGCCCCTTGGAAAGCTAACTATGTTTACATCTAAATTGGACCTTTCTGATATTTTGGGGGCAGCAAAACATTATTAAACAGTCTCTATAACTAAGAGCTCCTCTGTAACACGTGCTTGTGCCATGAATGAGCACCCCATTTGAAGGCCTCTGGCAAAGGAGAAGGGGCCATGAGGATACAATATTTGAAACACTTGGTTGCTAACCCAAAGTCTAGCAGTTCAAACCCAGCAGCCACTCTGCAAGAGAAAGGTGTTTCTGTATATATTTACCACCTTACAAATGCTAAGGGGAAGTTCTACTCTGTCCTATAAAGTTGCTATGAATTAGGACCATTAATCTGTGTTTTAAGCATAAGAAAAATTTGGTGACTTTGAAGAAAGTATTTGGTTTAACAGGATCTGATGACAGAGTAGTCAAGCATGAAATGAGTAAACTTGGATGAGTAGTGAGAGCTAGGGCAGGAGCTCACAGGAGAAGACGCTCCTGATAGTGTTTCTGACATAATCATCATCAATCATAATTCTGATAGTCTCTAGGGCTGGCAGAAGCACAAAATGAGAAAATATCCTCAGGCAACCCCCTTAGGTGTTTTCATCATTCAGCCGATTCCCACACAAGCTGCCTCCCGGTGCCAGCCCCAAATGACTAAAAAGTACCACGGCCAGGCAAGACCACACACACCTCTTTTCAAACATGCACATCTAGAAGCTGTCTACGGCCACAAATGTGCAAGTCGAGATGGCAGCAAGCAGAAGTGACCCTTCTGGCCTAAAGCCCCTAACATCAGTACCATTTGTCACCCTGTAATCACAACTGTTTATTTACATGTCTGCCCTCTGCCCCCAGCTCCTAGATTCTGTGCCATCTTTAAAAACCAGAAATACTTCATTTCTTACTCATCTTTAGATCTTCAGCATTCAGTGGAATGCTTGGCATAGTCGATAAATGGAAGACCAAGTTTGTTATACTAAAGATACAAGTTACATTCTATAGTTAGTATGTCTTCATCTAAAAAAGACCTTTCTGACATATTGTGGATAAAAAATTATTATTAAAATGCTCTCATCGATAATTAAGACCCTCATCTGTAACACATGGGTCTGCCACGAGTCTGAATTAATTCAAAACCAAGTTTTATTATTAACATACACCTGGTCATAATCTATATGTATGTATATACAGACACATACTTAGGTATATACACACATCCACTGGGGACTTCAAAAAGTTCCTGGAAAAAAAATGAAATTAAATATACGCATCCATAAAGGGATGTAAAAAAGGGGAGGGGGGATTACATCCTCTGTATACATATAAAACTTCCAATAAATGGCCCGTAAAAGAAATGTGAACTGGACAGAAGCTAGGCAACCTGACTGTGTGGCCAGACTCTAGATGTGTGACTTTCAGTTTAAAATGAAAAGTTTAGGAAATACAACCTCTAAGTGTCCTACTAATACCACTGTTTCTTCTCGGGATCTTTGATTTATGAGTATTTCACTAATGAACAGTCAAGAGGTGAAATGCATATCAAATACCCAGTATTCTTATCACTCTGGTACCACTTTGTTAGAGTTGAAACTAAATTATCCTGTCAAAAAATAATAATTTATAAACTATCAAGGGTTCAGGAGAGAGGGTGGAACAGGGAGGGAGGGGGAAAAAAGGAGGAGCTGATACCAAGGGTTCAAGTGGAAAGCAAATGTTCTGAGAATGATAAGGGCAACAGGTGTACAAACGTGCTAGACATACAATGGATGGATGGATGGACTGTGATAAGGGTTGTACGAGCCCCCAATAAAATGATTAAAAAAATTTTTCTGTCAAGATTTATTCAATGCTTCAATTCTATGGTCAAAATTAAATAAGTACCAAAAAACTATCTTTAGAAATCCAAAATTTAAGCTTACCATTCTAGTAACTGAACTCACACAACACAGGCACTGACATAAGAGACAAGGTGTAAGCTTACCTGCCAGGAAACTGCTCCAAAAATCGCTGTTGCAAGAAGACTAAAGAAAACTAACTGCTCAGAAATTAAGCAAAAATGACGCATCCCTTTGGATGCCATGACTCTATCCAGACTGTTGTTATCGGCTCGGTGGGTGGAATAAACCTTATGGCAGTCATTCAATTTGGTATGGAATCCCCAAAGAGTTAAAAGAAAAATAATATGGCAAATCAGCCAGAAAATTCCAAAAATGGAAAAACCTGGTATTACAAAATACCAGAGATGAGTGTCTCTTAGTTTAAATGCGGAAAGAATAGAAAACGTAAGCTCAATCATTCCAATGAAAACGACTGAGAGTCTTCTGCAAACTCTTCCCCGGTACAAAAAGGGCTTCCACCTTTCAGTCACCGAGAGTCCACTAAAGTAGATGTCGAGGAAAGGATCTGCGACGAGGCAAATGAAAAAGCAGGCGAAAGCGACTGGATTTTGGGGAGTCTCCAATGAGGAAAAAAATAACAAGACCCCGAAAATAATTAAATTTGGAATAGCTAGAAAAGACTTCATCCTCAGGTCAATGATCAGCATGGCCAAGGCAACGACCAGCAACACGATGCTCAGAGACTTCTCCACCAGCATAGTTGTGCTGGCGATGGCAAATCCAACGAGCTCCAGGAATTCAACCGTGGTGAGCAAAGTGGGTCGATGACGGACATAACCAGAAATTCTTTCCACCAAAGAGCACAATATCCTTAATACTATGGAAGTCAAAAGCAAATACTTGGTTGATTCTTCTTTCACGTCATTTTTAAAGGATGAATTATCAAGAAAACACAGGAGGCCGAGCAAGAATCCAAACCAAAGATTGGAGAGACTTAAGCTTGCCGCTTCCATTGAAAAATAGTAATAGAGTATGCTGGCAATTCCCAGAACAAAAAGACCAAGGATAAAAATGACCAAAATCAAGGAATTTGCCGTTTTCTCCCATCTCACATAAAGACCTAAGCATATTGCAACCAGCAGGTTGATTCTGGCTAAATAGCCAAGGTACCGCACTGAAGAATGCATGTTCGCGTCTCTATGGACTTCTTCCAGTCTTGTCATTGCTAAATAGAGACAATGACTAAAGCAATAACGCAGTGATTTACACATGTGACCTGGCAATTTGGGCTTTCTCCCCACTTTACAAAAGTTAACTGCTTGTATTTCATCCAGGCAATCCAATGTATCCGTAACTCCTACTTCAACATTTTCTCAGATGGAATTTTCATTTATAGCGATCTAAGAAAAAAAAAGAAAAACATATTTCAGTGTGAATTTCATTTTACTCCTCATATGCATCTTCCTCATACAGCGTAGTGAATAAGTGAAAAATTAAGTTTCTTCAAGAAACTAGTTTTTAAATCTGTATTTGTATGTATATTAATGATAACTGTCTCTGCTTTAGAAACTTGGGAGTTTATCCACACAAAAATATCTGTGCTTTCTCTTTGCCCTGTATTAAGAGTGCACAATGAAACTGCCCTTCCAGCCATGAATAATTCACCTGCTCTGTTCGTATTTCAGTATCTGCTTTGCTAACATCAAGCACATAGTAGATGCTGGACTGAGTTTAACTTGTGGCATATAGTTGTGGCATGATGGAAATCTACTCAACAGGGAACGAACAACTTCTTTATCACCTGTAATTTGTAAAGCACCAGCTAAAGTAAAAGGGACCATTGCTACCTGCCTAAAACCCTCTACATTTTTTAACAAGACAGTTCTAAAATGCCATAAATTCTTAGTCTTTACAATGTTTAACGAATAAACTTCCTAGAAGTAAAGTTTAACTGAGTGAAAGTTATTCAGTCTCTCATGCTGACCACAATTCTCCCTGTATCTTTACCTTTACTAGAGTAAATCTGTTTGGTAGACCTTCTTTGAAGCTAATCAGTAACAAACCAATTTCTGCACCTGCTAGACAACATTCAAATACAGGAATGCTGACCAACAATTACTATAACGTAACTTAAGCACTTTAGAATTCTACTTAAAAAACAAAGCAAAACAAAAAACTTCCACTGATTATTTGCTAAAGGACCCAGATAATTATTGCAATCTTAAATGCTTACTAGTCTTGCTAAATGGCTCTATTAAGTGGCATTTAAGACATAACATTGGTGAAAAAATTATTTAACTATAATTCTTTAAAATTTTCTAATATGCTGTTTTGGAAGAACTGATACATTATAAAGGCTCTTGTGGTCACAATATCCAAAGAAAACTCAACCAGGTAATAATTTTAAAGGAAACTAGTTGGGGATTGGCTTGTCTATTCTTCCTTATTAACAGAAGGCTGAAACGAAGACCCAACTGAAATATCAGGCAACCTTCTCATTAGGCTGGAAAAGAAGGTCAGTAAATCAACCTGAGGGTCTCTGGGAGGTTCTACGTATCATTACCAATTCTAGCTCCAGATATTCAATAACCATATTATTATAGCTAAATCTTATTATCTAAGCATTCTGATTTTTCTCAATTGCATTTTGAATCAATATTCTCAAAGATAATACACACTTACAAAAAGTCTTCCTTTGAGATATTTTGGTTTATCTTTTCGTGTGAGAAACTGATAATCTGGAGTACACTGAATTTTTTTCTGAAGTATCACTGTCATATACTATATAATTATTCAACATGTTAGAATAGTATATCCTCAAAGAACTGATGCTACAGATGGAGTTCAAAATACCAACTTGAAATTCATGAGGCATCCTTTGGTGTTTCCCTGGTCAACATTCTCTCCCATTCTGTTATACAAACCTCTTTCCTTTCCTCACACCCACTGCTTTCTCATTAGTTTGCCTCCTACAGAGTATTAGAAGGGAGTTCGAACTGGTTTTCAACACCAGGACAAACCCACCTGGCCGCAAATTTCCTGATGCAAAGAGAGAGGGTGTCCCTTTCCTGAGGGAAAATCTAGGGCTAGCCTGTGTTATTTCCTTCCCTTCTGCCTCTAGAATCTCTCTCTTCTCTACATCGAGCTCTATCAGCACTTACACATTTTATAAATCTGTTCTGAAATGATCAAAAGTAAATAAAAGCAAAGCCTAGGCTCAAGCAGGACATATCCTCATCCCATCTTTTTCCAGGTTCCATTTCTATCCTCTCCCCAACACTTAATATATTTGGCTGCTTTACTTCTCAAACCACTCAACATGATGGTAAACTGTTCTGACACAGCCTGAAATGACCCGCATATACTAAATCCAACGGGCACTTTCTGCTGTCTCCTGCTCTTTCTTGAAACAACCATTGACCCTGCTCTCTCCTGCCACATCGAGAACCTTCCTTTCCCGTGGGTTCCAAGGACCAGCCTTGTGATTTTCTTTCCAATTCAGCTTACTTTTCATTGTCCAGCTGTAAGCTTTTTTGATGTTCTCTGGCTACACATTTTCTCTAAGCAATCATCTCTTTCTATGCCTTCAATTATCATTCCTCTACTTATTTACCTGCATACATTAATCTCATTAGAAATAAAAGAACCAGCTCTGTATTGTACTCTTTGTAGAGGCCAAAACCTGAAAATAAAAAGTAAACATACAAATAATCTAGTAAAATGTTGTACATCATGGAATAATATATGCAGTTACCCTCTAGGGGGCCAAACATATTTTAGAAAAAGTAGTAATTTTTGAATGGCTAATTTACAAAAGTCTTTCCCTACTCTGAACTGTTTAAAAGACAAATAATATGAATCAGAGACTCTGGAGGAAGATATGAATGTGGCTATATACAGAATAGAAAAAGAGTTCATCTATATATAAGGAAAGTTAACTCAATCCACCTAAAACCAAATCCATTACCACTGAGTTAATTCCAGCTCAGAGCAACCTGTACAAGGTTTCCAAGACCGTAAATCACTAGGGGAGCTGATGGCCTCATGTTTCTGCAGAAGGACCAGCCGCCTTTGAAGGAGCTCAGCTGTTGTGTTTTCGCTGCTGGTCTTGCATTAGCAGCCCAACACCTAGGCCACAGCATCACCAAAGCTCCTTAACAATCGTCACACAAAAAATATATAGACCGTACATAAAACTCTAATCCTCTCCATCACGTCCTGCATTTAATTCTCCTTCTACTTTCTAAACACCGCTTACTTGTTTCTACCTCTCTACCCATCCCCATTGTCACCATTCCAGTTTGTCCACCATCTCAAACGTGGATGTGTCCCTATATCCACTCTTGTCCTTCCTTAAGAAGTGTTCTTTTAAAATTCAAAATGTATCACATCATTACGATGTAAAGCCTTCCAATGGCTGCCCACCACCCTGGCAACAGAGCCTAAACTATTTAACTTGCACAAGTACTTTGGATCAACTCTCTTGCTTAATCTCTTACCATTCTTCCTCTCACACTCTGTATTCCAGTCTTACTGACCTGCAACAGGAAATAGAAACCCAAACTCTCTTTCATGTCAAGAGCACTCTGTACCTGGCCCCACCTTATTTTCACACCAGCCTCTTCTCTTCATCCAGTTTCAACTGTGTTTCCTTCTAAGTTCTCCCCTGACCACTGGATGGCCCCTATGAATCCTTCCTCGGGAAGAGCCCTGCTGAGACCCCAGGCTTGGGCAGCTAACCACAGGGTCCAGGGTTGACCAGCAGCTCTGGGGTGGTTTCATTTCCGAAAGCCTAGGGAGTGGTCCTCCTCTGGGGTCACTCTGAGTAAGACTTGCTGAGGCAGCAGGGAGATGTTTAGGCTTCCTTGGAAGGAGTTCTGATGCACCACGGGCTAATCACCGGGTTCTAACTGACGGCATGGTTGGCTGTACAAACTGCTGCTCTCTGGCAGAAAGATGAGGCTGGCTCTGCTCCTGTAAAAATTTACTTTCAGAAAGGGTAGCAAGTACCTCTACTCTGTCCTGTAGAGAGGGTCACACTGGGATTGGAATCTACTCCGTGGCAGTGGTTGTTCCTTGTTCTGAAATCGCAAAATACTCGCCATCACGTGCTTAATGTCTCCATTCTCAAGTAGACATTCACAAATATTCGAATGAACAATTAAGAGAGACAGCTAGTTTAGTAACAAGGGTGATCAGTTATCACACCATTCTTACTGTACAATGAGTATATATATAGTCTCACTGAAACCTGGCACGGTTACAGCTTCCCCCACATTCCTACAAAC